AGAAGTCCATGTGGCAGGACTTTTCACAAGTGATGCTGTTGCAAAGGGCATTTCAAGGCCGATTTCTGACGCTCACTCCACGCCACCCTGGGTTACCAGCTCGTCTGCTCAGACGATGAAGAAAAACCTAGCTGGGAAAGGGACATTCGAATCAGGGTTCGAGTTTTCTTGGAAAACTTGGCGGCTGCAATCTCTGTCATCCCATCAGAGATGTACTGGCGCGCTGAGCTGGAATTGCGCCAGCGGCCTTTGATTAGGATTAAGTCCATCGGGACTTGGGCTCTATACAATTGTGTCGCTCCTCCCCTTCTAAGGGAATATGGACGGTATCCATGCTCGCTGAGCCGGAAAAAGGAGATGATCCTGCTAAACTGCACACGAAATTGTTGACTGGACTCCCTCCAGATCAGACCTCTTCGAGGTTGCAAAGCCAAAAACGTGCGAGTAAGGTGAAGCACAGCCGGCTCACGAATCACGATATGTTCTCCAGGTCCTGTTTTGCCACTTGTCTTTGTTTCAGAAAGGTGGGTGATGACCGCATTGGTGTCAACGTTGACGTCGTTTAGACAAAGTTGGAGAAGTTCACCTGTTCTGAAAAGACCGAAGAAGCCTATGGCCAGTAGAAAACTCATTGTGATGTCTCGGATCTCCAAGCATCGAGCCACCATTGCCCAGAGAAGCTCCAGGCTGAGTGGCGTCGCCTGCCAGCACTTCTCACTCTTTCTCCACAGGCCGAAGAGGTGCCAGCTGTAAGACAACTTCTTTCGAAGAAAAGGCAAGAAAACCTGCAGCCCGCTGAGTACATCGCCAGCAAAGGACAACGGATTCGCCTTGTTCGTAGGCGTACTCTAAAAAGTTTCCCAGCTCCAGATCAAAAGCTGTGACCGACTCTAGATCTCCTGAGATAAAATCCCAATCCTCTAAAAGCGCGGTGCACAGCCTCTCTATACCTCTTCAGAGTGCTGGCCTTCAACCCACTCTGAGAAAGGGAGGTGCGCTGCCTCAACTGTCGTCTGGCAGCCTTGGTAAGGCGTTTTCTAGAGCCTCTCATGCCACACGCGACGCCTCATCCGTGGGGTTCTGCATGCTATCCACGTGAACGGACATCAAATATATGTTGAAAAGGAGCTGCAAGCTGTTTATTTTCCTCACAATGTGAATCAATGCTTTGCTAGAGGTTCTGCCCTTAGCTAAGATTGAAATGCTCACAGCGGAATCGCTGAGGTGGAGTACGCGCATATTTGAACAGGCGTGATGCTCAAGCCTCCACTGCAAACTTAGTTCCAGTGCATTGATGTGTTCCTTGCACTCCCATCGTCTTTTGAGGGTGATTTTCCAAGTCCAAAAGTTTGCGGGGATGCTCTGCCGTGGATACAATTTGGGGTTTGTCGGTTGACCAACGCTGACCCTGATGTCGCTCCCGTTTTGGGAGACCTTTCGAGCCAACTGTCGCACCATCAGCTGGTTGACATCTGACATACTCATTAACTCCTCCGTGGTGCTGCCAATGGTGTGGTGCAGCCAATGGGGGCCAACCGCTCAACTGCCAAACACGCGCCTGGGAACATTCCTAGTCGCTGCTGATAATGTCGAGGACTTCGTCGGGTTACCCATCTCTCCACGGAACTAGCAGCAAAGAGCCAGAATGTGTTGACAGGGAATGCATCCCCTGTGAGGCTCATTCTCTCATCAGCATATCCCTTTGGGCTGCTCTTAGCTGTCGAAGCATTAAGGGCTGGTTCTGTGTGTCCAGGTCCAAATCCCATCAGTGTTTCCCGCTCTGCAGGGCTCAGGTACCTAACCTTGTCCGAACACTCCTCAACCATCATATAGCAATCTCTATATTGGTAAGGTGGGAAGCGAAAACTGTCCTGTCTCCAGCGAAGGAGCTCATGAGGCAGACAACGATGGTACCCCACCGGACGTTCGGGCGGACGAGGACGAACGATCGCACGCATGCACGTCGGAAAAAATGCAGCTTCGTGAAGCGGCCTCCAACCTGTTCAGCCCACAACGTCGTCCCTAGTGGCTCACATTCAAAATATACCTGCCAAAAACCCCCTTTCCATTCCGTCCAGACAAAATTGTCCTCCCTAACTCCCAAATTCGTCCAAACAAAACGGGGGCGGCTCATCGGAACAATGAACTCACTGTCGACGCGGTAGGGGGTCAAACCAAGTTCCCGACTAATAGTGTCCCGGGCGGCACTATCCATAGAGCACACATTTTCAGCGAACAAGACGGTCTCGAGAGTTGGAGCCGCCTCCTGGACCTCGTGCCAGACGCGCTGAAGCTCGTAGAAAAGTGAGCTGTGGGATCCGGCTAGGTTCAGAAGTTGAGCCTTGGCTCCACTCAAGTCCTTGCAGGGAAAGCCACCCCACACATGTATAGCCACGATGTCTCCAGCCTTTGCTATCCACTCCTCAATGATCTTTCGATCGACTGCTCGGACGTCATCGAACTCCAGGCTGTCGGGCCATCGTCGCCCCACCACTCGCCTAGCGGGGCGATGTACCTCAACGCTGACGCTCAACGCCGGCCTCACTCCTGCCAGGTCATACGACCTTCTCGCTCCTCCGATTCCATCAAACAGCGATATCAGCAGCACCGGCACCTTCTTTCCTTGGTTCTCCTCGTGGCTGTCAAAGTAGACGAAGTCTCTTCCCAGCCACGTCACCTCCTCTGCAATTCCGACTGCTCCTCCGGCCATCGAAGCATCACTAGCCGAGACACACTCTGAAGGTTGGGCGGTGAGGTCAGTGTGAAACAATAGGCCTCCTAGTCCTATGGACAGGAGTTCCCAGCGTGCTTGCCACTCTTTCTTTTTGGAGCGCTCCTTCAGGAACTCCCAAACTCCGCTGAAGTGTGCCATCCCTGGTCTCCGAAATTGGAGGATGTGCATACTATTTGCAGGCTTTTGTGACGGAGGTTATTCCTGCAGCATAGCCAGAGGCTAAGCTTCATGGTCTTCTCTAACCTCTCAGCCTCTGCGCCTATCCATCCTCTCTCGCCTTGACGCAGCCTCTGTCCTGACGCATAGTTGTCAAGGTAAATGTGCCAAAAGGGGGGATCCTTGAACCTCATCTCCTTTTAGTTCCTCTACGAAACCTCTTGGGAGCAAAGAAACCCGGTTGACCGCATGGTTGTCAGGCAATCCTATGTCCCTTAGCAAGGTCTCAGCTGCTTCCTCCATCGCCCCTACTGCTGAACTCCACCCCATGGGCAAAACCCTCGCACATAGGGTGTAACGGGTGGCCGGATCATAGCCTGTTCCCAGCTCAGTTCGAACAGGTAGAAAGCAGATGTGATATCTGCCTGGCTCACTTCTATCCTCTCGCCCGGCCCCAAGAAAATCGAGGTCCACTGACTAATGGTAGGAAGCCGATGAACTGACCCCGGAATGACAGAGTGAAGCGCATTGCTTGGGATGAGGTTCATGATGACCCGCAGTGTCTCGACTCCTCCGACGGCACGTCCGGGCTTCACCACCCCAAACAGCCCATTCTTCACCTTTGTGCCCCTGAACTCAAAGACCTCATCTTCGGGGTACCACTTGCAAATCCCTCTCTCCACCAAAAGCGAGGCCACATGCATCCTTTCCCCTTCACGAACATTGACACGACCTTGAAGCCTGGGAACCGGTTGTCCAACGTCCTCGACCTCTGTTAGGGACGGATTCTCCAGCAACCTTCTCGTTGATGCACTAACCCAATCCACCAAACGAATCGAACCTCCACGTCCGACGGGGGGGCAGTGAAGGGAGGATTTGCTCTCCACTTAGTTTCTCCACCTTACCTATCTCTTCGCCTGCATACCCTATGTCTCTCTTCTCTAGGTCTTCTTTGATCTGAGCAGGCCCCCATCTAAGCCCTGGCTTCCATTCACTCAGCAACGAACACACCCTATGCCGAACGGATTCCAGGGCTCTCCAGTGGGCCTTCTTGGCATTTCCTCTCTTGAAACCTCCATTACCTCCATGCATCATTTGGCAGAACTTTACTGCAGCCAGGGTCCACCCGTCAATGTAGTCCTCTGAGGTCCAAAAGCTCTCCCTGAAAACGTCCTCAAACAAACTACCCTCAAGTTTCTGAGCGAGTCGTTTCCACATGTGGGGAAATGGATACAGGCTCTTATTGCCAAGCAGCTGCCCACTACAGGTCCAACTACCCAAAGCACCAACTTTCCCCCATAACCAGCTTTCCCCCAGTGGACTCTTTGCCCCTACCAGGATCATCCAGCTCCATGCCAGCCCGAGGCATTTCAGGTCAGCGCTCTCACACATTCTGTCTGCTACCTTCTCCCCTCTTCTTCCTCCGGTCAGCAGCGGACCTTCTTCACCTCTCATCCCTTCTGGCCTCACCTCTGCCTGCGGCATCACTCCTTCTGCAATCTCACTGCTCTGACCTCTGTAGCCCTGCCTCTTCCTTCTCAGCCTCATCTCCTCTTTGCCGCCCTCTCTGTTGCCTTTCCAACCCTTGCCTCTTCCTTTGTCCTTTGAATCCTTGCATCATGCGCCTTTTCCTTCGAAGCCTTGTGCTTTGTAGATCATGTTCTGATGTCGCCGGGCGGCCAAGTGGAGTTCGGCTGGGGCTATTGCCTGCTCTGATGGAACGGCCACTTCGAGGTGCCGGGCGACGTTCCAACCGTCGTGGGTGGCCGCCTCCACCGCGATGAAGCGGCCGGCCAAAGCATCCAATGCCTCTAGAAGCTGACCTCCTCTGATGCGGTCGATCACCGTCGCCAACAAGTAGAGCTCCCTCAGGGCAGGATGTCCTTGGTGATATCGATGCTTGAGGTTGATCTGCCAGTACGTGCCCACCTTTGGCCCGCTTGTGAGGAGGTCCTCCGACAAGGTTGCAATGTCCTGCATCTGTTCGGCAATCTGCTGCAAGAGGAGTAGAATAACGCTGCCCTTTTTCTTTTGACTCTTCCTCTTGAGAGGCGCCTGCAACCGCCGCGCCTTCTTCTCCTCGCTGCTCTCGCCCTCTGTCGACTCCTCTGTGCTCTCGTCCTCCTCGTCCTCGTCGTCCGAAGATCCTCCTGAGCTGCCACTGCTGTCTGGGGGGTCTCCACCGTCTTTCAACGCCTTCTTCTTTTTCTTCTTTTCTTTTTGTCCTTGTCCTTCTTGGGCTTCAGGACATTGCGAAGGGCCTTCAACCTACGCTCCTCGCTTCGCTTCCTCTTGCGTCTCTTTCCTCCGACTTGTCCACCTGACCCCGACGCTCGATTCGCCGCCTCCATAGGCGAACTCGGTTTCTTGCCACTCGAAGAATCTTCTCTTTGCTCCTCCAATGCCTCCTTCAACTTCTCCTTCACTGCCGTAGATGTAGTCTCCATTCCAAGGCTCAAGTTCTGAGGCCCAGTCTTGGGCTTCTTTGGAACTGCAGGTGACGATGCGGCGGGCGTCTTTTTCTCTGTCAAACCAGCCCCAACTGGAGCGCCCTCGCCAGGACTGCTCAGGCTTTCCCGTAGTTTGGACTTCAGGTCCGAGAGGGCCTCTGTAACCTTGCGTCTTCCTCTGTCTCTCTTCTCTGACCTCTCTTCTGTGACCTCCTTCTCCTCTGCACCTCTCTCGATCTCGCGGCCGCTCAGGTCGATGCCAACCTCCTCGTCTCCTACAAAAATAGGATGTCGATCTCCCCGGTCGCCCCTTGCATCTCTGGTACGACGAAGTGCACTGGGTCGCAACACTGACCTCTCGGCAGGCTCTTCGGGTTCTTCTTCTCCTGCAACCCCTCCAACCTCTATACCTAATACTTCTTGGCAAAGCGACACCCATCGTTTGTAGCCAGAGGGGCCTAGGTAACCCTTCTTGAGCTCCTGACCGGGGATGACGGAGAGGGCCTTGGCATGGCATAGGTAGTTCCCAGAGCTGCGGCATTCGACCTCGTTGCAAATGTGAACCTGCTTCAAGGTCTTGTTCAAGCTCGTGAGCTGCCGGCTCTCCTTGCTGTCTGTGGTGCCTAGGGAGACCACCTCTGCTGCTATGCTGCCATCTCGTAATACCTGGTCGAACTTCACGAAGAGGGGAACTGGAAGCCGCTTTCCTCCACATTCTACAGCACAAATCAATACCCTTCCGGCGAAGACACCCATCATCAGCCACCTCTCTCTGTCCTCCTCCAGGTCGAACCATCCAGTGTCCTCACCTCCTCGATCACCTCCTCCGTCGCTTTCCATTGTGGTCTCGACCGTCCTGCTCCCTTCTCCTCTCTCTCCTCTGCCTAGACTCCTCAGGCACCACCTCCTCCTCAACCTCTCTCCTATCCTCTGTCCTCACCCTAGGCTGCACCCTGTTGTCCTCTGTAGATGCTCCTCCACTGCTATGTCGAGGTGGTAGGGATTGAAGACCGTGCCTGTTTCCTGGGGATTCCTCCTCCTGGAAGTGAGAAGCGTCACGAAGGACCTCAAGGCCTCTCAAAGCGCTTTCCAGCCAAGATACTGCAATCGTTGCCTCAAGCCGGCTATGGGGAGCAAATCGCAGTTCCTGGCCGATCTTCCTGAGGAGGACACAGGCACGGCACAACCCTCCTTCCTCAACAAAGTGCGGCCTAGAGCACGCACTGCAAGCAGCCGGCATCGAACGTCCGCCCCGCGAACCCACTCTTGAGTACAAAAAGGTGGCATCACCGAAAACTCAAGCCCTACCTCAAGAAAAACGTTCCGAGCGAACGACCAATGCAAATCCGCAACATGATTGAAATACGAAACCTAAATCGAACGTATGCAGTAATTAATTTCTGGATCAATTATATATCCATCATTATCCATCTCTCCCTCTTCTATCTGTCCGCTGATCAAATCAACAACCAATCAAAAATCCAATCTACCCCACCGCCCCATTTCGTGGCGCGTCGCCGCGCCCTCGAGCCCCGCGCTCCTCGCAGCGTGCCGAGCGCACGAGGTCACAGGCGCTGGCAAAGTCACCGGAGCCCATGGCGCGATGGAGGCGCCCCGCATGGAGCATCCTCGTCACCCAAGCGACTTGGAGAACAAGGATGGACTCGTCGTTGGGTGGGCACTGATGGGCCCTGGATGGTGCTGACTTGGAGAAGATCAATTTGGGTGGTGGATGACAGTGAAGAAGAGAACCGAAGATGGAGCATGGTCGATGGACCAGCAAAGGCTGAAATGAAAAGGTAGATTTGGTCCAATCCCCATATCCTCTACAGCCCTGGCTGTTGATCCCCTCCAACAGTTGTCTGGTTTTTTGAGACCCTTCGTAATAACTCGGTGGCTAGAGACTCGTGGCTTAACTCATACACCCCGAAAAAGTCTCTCAAACATCCAAACAAATTCGCTTACCCAATCTGGAGGTCCTGCGGGAGTCCTGGAGGTCCAGTGGGAGTCCTGGAGGTCTAGTGGGAGTCCTACCCCCCAAAAAATTGCTTCCGAACGTTGCGTGACTGGACAAAACGGTTCTTGGACCGTTGAACGGCGATTCTGGTGAGTGTGAGGTTTCCAAATACCTTATGGTATCTTATGGGTGTGTATTGAGGGAGACCTCGCCAGCTGGGTCTCCCGATTTAAATATACCTTGTGACTTATGTGACATGTCAGGTCATCAGAACCCTGAGCAACGCCCCGGTCCGGCCCGGCAAACAGGGAGTTGGTATAATGTCTCAGGTGATACAGTTCATGTCGGTAATGTTTCGCACAGTGAGTCGGTCTTTCTTGTCCTCACATTTCTATGATATGCTCCATCTGGATTCGCTTCATTACTGGGATGTAAGGTGAGCAGCCTAAGAAGGCAGGGCAATGCCCGCCTGTCTCACCCAGGAAATGCACCCGTCTGACTCGCGGGTCATTCACGGTGGTCAGACCGAGGGAGTGGAGATCCAGCGAAGAAGCTTCCAGACATAGGGTCCCCAT